GAACATCTGCCTGACTCTGGTGGATGTTGTCAATAAGTTCTGCGATCCGGAAACCGGTGACGAGATCCACCGGCTGGCTGATGAGACCAGGAGACACATTATTCAGAAGCTGAACGACTTCAGCAAGACGGCCAAGGAACAACCGGAGTACGGCGTGGAGATACACAACGCAGAGGACAATACCTTCAAACTAGCTCTGTGTGGTTTGGAACACGATGAGCAGATGGGTCAGACCTTTAGGGCCACAGGTTTCGAATGGTGGGCTCTCTTGCACTTTCGTCTGGAGAACCTGTTGTATGTGGCGAGTCAGCTCTGCAAGCGGACAACCGGAACTCTCGTGGACAGGGCTTGGAAACAAGTAAACGGCACTTTTAGCTTACATCCCGAGTTCTTTGACCTTAGCAAGTCCGGACATCTCCTGCTTGCACGCATCATCCTGCGAGCTTGGAGCTTACGAGAGGCGGCACTCGTCGAACAGAACCAGGTCGTGCCCCTGACGCCCTCCTATGTGACGAAACTGCGAGGACTTCTACCCTCGGAGACTTTCAGTTCGAGCCAACGCCCTCCACAGCTTGGTAGCCAAGACCGCAACTCACCGGTGAGAACATTCAACCTTGCATCTCAACCTGAGCCAGGTTTCGACATGAGCATGCCGCTGGACCTTGGTTCATTCAACGGATTATCTGCTTTAGAGACGACGAACATATTGTCCGGTCAACCCCAGTCAAATCACCTGGATTACGGCCTGTTCCCTTATTACGATACAGGTTCTATGGACGTGCAGATGACCGGTGAGGACTCCCTGTGGAGGGACTCGATGACAAACCAGATGAGCGGAGATTTGCACCCGGGCGGTAACGGATATATGAACGGCAATGGAGCCTGGTACACGGGATAAGATACAGTTGGGTTCACGAGTCTTCACGAAATCGCATGCCTAGACATGACCGGCATGTTATCCAGAGACAGGGTCCAGAACGGTGACAGGTTTACCAAGTTCGGACGTGATAACTTCACCCGGAACTGGTGTGAGTGTGCGCACGCATTTAGGAACCTGGAAGCGATAGTGCAGATACTTCGACCTGAGTACAACAGTGTCGAAATAGTTCTTCAGCGTCGCAGCACTACACCATGGTTTTGGAGCGCGCCCGCTGGCCCAATCGTCAGCGTTCATAATTAGCCAACCATTCACGCTATCTGCCTGCGCTGCTGCGGCAGCGATTGCCACGGACAAGCCACACAGCATCAACCAGTTGAGAACGTTTCGTGGTTGATCTATCACGGGCAACGCTGTACCCTTGGCTGTTCCATCAAGCACAGCAATGATGGTTAAGAATACCTCTTCACCTCGACTGCGGCAACATTCGTTTCAAGGACTTGGCTATGGGGCAAGATGGCGGGCGGAGGCTCTCCTTGATCCACGCGAAGCACGACTATGGCGGCTCTTTACACTGTCGTTGTGGTCAAGCCTCAGACCTTGATAGGCTATCGTATATGGCACTACGAGCTCGCCGCCAGCGCAGATGCAGGTCGCTTACCTGAGTTATACGACATCATTTGCATGGTGGATTTGTTGACTTGGAAGCCGTCCTCCAAGTATGACGCTCTTGGCGTCGCCATCGAGCTGCATCGTCACGAACCGCCACCAAGGTCCTTGTATTCTCAGGAATGATACAGCTTGGGAGCACGCTGGGATACAACAGGCTTTTCGCGGGCGTTATGAGCTTCGCTGGGGTTTGTGGTCGGTCAACCCGATTGCATACACTTCAACTGGATCTCTGGTATGTATTATAACAGGCGGCTTAAACGCTGGATAAGATAGATGGTCTCAATGGAACACTCTACTCCACTACACTTGAGGTTGTGATAACGTCGATTATTCATTCTGCCCCTATCAAGTACTGCATAGCGATTAGAACTCTGCCTAGCCTGACTTATACACAACCAGCACAGCTCGGTCCCGAAATGGTCAGCTCCAAGCCGTGTCTGGGTTAGTCAGCAGCTGCGCCGGACCCGTGGTGTAGGAAACCAATCGCTTTGCGCCCGAAACCCACATCGTAATGTTCTCAGAACCCCGACCACAGTCACTGATGGTCACCCAAAGTCTCTCTTTCCAAGTTAATTCTATCCGAGCTCACAATCCTATCCGAGTTCTGTGCTCTCTTTCTCATTTTAGCAATCCGAAGGTAGCCATTCCAGCCAGGAGTGCGCCCGAGTCGACTCATTATCCCGATCGAGCAGGCTTTGACGACGTCAATTGAAGCATTTGCGTTGACAAATTCGACCAATCGTATCACTTTACGAAATGACTGTAGGGGGCTAACCACTGCGGAGTCTGTAGAAGTCCGACTACCGCTCGCTTGCCATTGGCTCCTGCCGTGGGCGCGACTGCCTCGTTTAGCTGTGTTGGGAAATGCGAGATCTAGTGCAGGCTATCGATCGTTGGGTGCCCGGTAACAGTAACATGACAACCTGGTTAAGGCTATGGTATGGGGATTACGGCACGGGGTTAAGATTTTTGTCGCTGGAAAGAAAATGCAATTCAGATTTCGATATAAAGATGGTATAGTAACCTGCAGGTTTGGCTTTTCTCTCGCGTCCATATCTGTCACCTGATGACTGTTAATACATCGCGAATAGAGCTGCACTGCTTGTTTGCTCTCTTCACTTGATTTGCTACTTTACGCTTCTTTCGCCATTCACCCTGTGGTTACACTAGGTATATGAGTTCCTAACTTTAAGCTTATTTGCTCGACGACTTACCCCATCCATCTCAACTTCTGTGCAGTCGACTCTCCACCAGATACACAAGATGGCCATATTTAGGAGTAAGCAAAAAGCATCACCCGCTGAGACGGGCATCGCCAACGCGGACATCAATGCAGCACCAGCATCCTCATCTCCCGTCACCCAGGATGCTGTCAACACCGAGAAGACAGGGGAGGAAGAGACACCCCACACCCTGAAGCGGTCAGCGACGACAGCAACCGAGGACATCGTCTACCCATCCGGGCCCCGTCTCTGGATCCTCATAGCGTCCATCTTCATCGCTATGTTCCTCGTCTCCCTCGACCGCCTCATCATCTCCACTGCCATCCCGCGAATAACAGACGACTTCAAATCCGTCACCGACATAGGCTGGTACGGTTCGGCATACCTACTCACGCAATGCTCCTTCCAGCTCATGTACGGCAAGATCTACACCTTCTTCAGCATCAAGGCCGTCTTCCTCGAGGCCATTCTCCTCTTCGAGATCGGTTCGGCGGTCTGTGGTGCCGCGCCCAACAGCGTGGCTTTTATCCTTGGACGGGCGATTGCCGGCGTGGGAAGCGCGGGCATCACGTCGGGTGTCATTGTGGTCTTGGTCTACGCGGTACCGCTACATAGACGACCCAAGTACCAAGGGCTGATCGGTGCCGTGTTTGGTATCAGCAGTATCGTCGGACCGTTGGTCGGGGGGGCTTTCACAAGCCATGTCACCTGGCGGTGGTGCTTCTATATCAATTTGCCATTCGGAGCTGTCACACTGGTGCTGGTGTGGTGGTTACTGGACATTCCGGACCGGGAGGAGACAAAGGCACCGATGATGGACAAGCTGAAGCATTTGGATGCTTGGGGGACAACGGCGTTGGTGCCGGGCGTGGTGTGCCTCCTCTTGGCGTTGCAGTGGGGTGGGAGCAAGTATCCCGTAAGTCAAAACTCTTACCCGATGTCCGATGATGTGAGTGAGTGCTAACTGATATGATAGTGGTCCGAAGGCAGAATCATCGCCCTCCTCGTCATAGCTTTCGTCCTTTTGATCGCCTTTGTCGGGATACAGATCTGGAAACCTGCCACGGCCACCATCCCTCCCCGCATCTTCGTCCAACGCTCCATCATGGCCGGTATGTGGGCAACTCTCTGCATCGGTTCGTCGATGATGATCCTCGTCTACTTCCTACCTATCTGGTTTCAAGCCATCCGAGGCGTATCGGCCGTCGATTCTGGTATCCGTCTCCTTCCCATGCTGCTTCCTATGGTCTTCTCGTCCATCAGTACCGGAATTTTCGTCAGCAAAGTCGGCTATTACGCGCCTCCGATGCTCGTCGGCACTTGCATCATGACGGTTGGTTCAGGACTTCTCACCACCCTTCAAGTCGACTCCAGCAACGGGACATGGATCGGCTACCAGATCCTCTTCGGCTTCGGACTGGGAATGACCTTCCAAGCGCCTAATCTCGCCGCTCAAACTGTCCTTACCACCAGGGATGTTCCCATTGGTGCAAGTCTGATGTTCTTCGCGCAGTTGCTAGGCGGGGCTATTTTCATTTCCGTTGGCCAGAACGTGCTCAACAGCGAGCTTCTCAAGAGATTGAGCAACCTACCAGGCTTCAACCCTGCATTGTTGTCAAGCGAGGGTGCGACGACCTTGATCAACCAGCTACCCGAAAGCATCCGGGGTGCAGTGCTCATCGGCTATAACGCGAGCTTGAGAAAAGTGTTCCAGGTATCACTAATCATGTGCTGCCTGGTAATCTTTGGAGCGGCAACATTGGAGTGGAGGAGTGTGAAGAAGAATGCACCAGCTAAGAAGCAGGATGCTGAGGCGAGCAGGACGGAAGGGGATGAGACTGATCTTGCGTCCGCCAAGGGAAGCAGGGACGAGAATGGAGAGACAGCTTAAGGATATAAATCTTGATGAAAATGTAAGATATAGTTGAAGGGGTGCACTCGACTCTTAGATAGACTCTCCCAAATGCAAATTTACTTTGTCTTTTACCACATCCGCTTGTTTAACGGAATCATATAGTATCCTCCATGGTGTTTTTGGTATAACTTCTATGGGTTTCACCACCGGGCTCCGAGTCTTGCGAGTTGAGGCTGGCTCACTTCATGGGTTGACACGTTTCACCCAGCACGAGGTCAAACACATTGTACCTCCGTTCAGCCCGATCTTCATAACAAGCCAAAAAAGCAGCAGATAATATCCCCTTTCGATGACTTCAGGAGGCAAAACATGATGAACAGAGTGGGGTTCGAACCCACGCATCTTTCGATAGTTGAGATAGTTATAGGGTAACTTAAGTCAACCGCCTTAGACCACTCGGCCATCTGTCCATTGGTTAGTGAAAAGAATTTGAATTCGTTGCTCTTGAGGAACTTGATGAGAAAAGAAGTGTCAACGATCTCGGCCGGTATGTAGACGCAGTCCTCTTGAATACACTCTCGCTGACAGAACATCATCAAGGGCTTTCTACGCGTGGATGAGGGGCAGTAGAAGGGTTGGACTGCCTAGTCCAAGTATAAGTTAATCTGAAAAGGCACGCACGTACAGCTAGACACTGCACGCCCCACTAAAACTTTACTGCTGCAGGGAAGCTTATTTGAGCCGCGATAAAGTTCGATACAACCATGTCGCAAACCTCGTAGTCTATCAGATCAACATACCGCCCTCCGCATAGTGAGGTGACAAATCGTTCTGCATACATTCAGGCCTCCCGGACTTGTCTTCTTTTCCGAGAGCGACCACCATTGTCCTCATAGCCACCGATCCCTTCACGAAACACATCTCGAAAACAATCCACCATGATCCCCAAGCGCATGACCGCCAACCCGGTGCGACCGGCCAGATATCGAGCAGGCAAACCAACTGGCGTAGATTCAGCTTCCGAGTCCGAATCCGATGATGAGCAACAACAGCAAGAACAGCAAAAGAAGCCCGCCCCACGCAAGATCGCCCCGCCACCCAAAGCCACGAGCGCAGGAAGGATCATATCCACTGGTGCTGGCGCAAAGATCGACTTCAAAAGTGAAGAAGAGGCAAGAAGAGCTGCCGCTGCAAGGGCAAGAGCTGAAGCCGAGAAAAAGGCTAAAGAGGAAGGCTTCGTCACCGAGGATGAGGAGGACGACGAAGCGCAAGGAGGCGCAGGCGGAGGAGATGACGATGAAGAGAGCGAAGAGGAGTCTGGCTCCGAAGAGGAGAGCTCAAGCGAAGACGAAGCGCCCAGACGGCTCATGTTACGACCGAAGTTCATACCCAAATCCGCCCGAAACGGAGGGGACGCCGCAACCAGCAGGAATACAGAAGAAGAAGAGGCCGAGGCAGCTGCCGCACGCAAGAAAGCAGAGATGGATGCCCTAGTAGAAGAGCAGATACGCAAAGACCTCGCCGCGAAGGCAGCGGGCAAGAAACACTGGGAAGACGACACGGATGAGGAAGACGAAGACGTGGACGACACCGACGACATTGACCCCGAAGCCGAATACGCAGCGTGGAAACTGCGCGAACTGAAGCGCATTCGAAGAGACAGGGAAGTTATTGAAGCTAAGGAGAAAGAGCGCGAGGAGATTGAGCGGCGTCGAAATCTTACGGAAGAGGAACGTCGTCGCGAAGACGAGGAGTTCCTGCGCAAACAGGAGGCGGAAAAGGAAGGGCGCGGCAACATGGCCTATCTTCAGAAATACCACCACAAAGGAGCTTTTTACCAAGATGAACTATCTGCTGAGGGGTTGGCCAAGAGAGATATCATGGGTGCGCGGTTCCAGGACGATGTCAAGAATCGGGATTTGTTGCCCAAGGCGTTGCAGATACGAGATATGACGAAGCTGGGAAAGAAGGGAGCCACGAAATATAGGGACATGAAGAGCGAGGACACGGGAAGGTGGGGAGAGTTGGATGCGGGAAGGGGGAGAGGAGGTGGGATTAGGGGGGTTGATGAACGGTTCCAACCAGATCACGATAGGAGGAGGGACAGAGATGGTGATGAGGGGCCGAAGGGCAGTAATGCGATCCCATTAGGCGACAGGAGGCGAGACGATAGGGGCGAGAGGAGCGGGTTTAGGTCGAGAGAGGATGAGCGGGAGAGAAGGAGATCAAGATCGCCGAGGAGAGACTACCGTGAGCGCGACAGAAGTCGAGACAGAGATGATCATCGAGAAAGGCGCAAGAGGGAGTCGTCCAGAGATCCCGACCGCTATGAGAGTGACAAGCGGAGAAGAGTTGACTCCAGGTAGAACGAGATCATGAACTCATACCTGCTATTGCGGCAGTAATCTACTAAGATTGATACCCGCCTCATACAGTTCATACACAAACACTCTGCTATGCTATGCTCAGATTCTTGTGATCTCTACCCTTGCTCTCTCATATATTTTGTGGCCAATTAACCCTCCCTCGCTCATATCCTCTTGCCTGACTTTGGGCGCAGCCAAGACCATCCTAGCATAGGTGCCAGCACCTCTCCGCTTGGACAAGAAGCCAGGGTTAATAACCAACACACTATCCACGACCTGCAAATCACCGCTGTTAGCACAATACCCAACGTTGTCGCTGACAGACGGAGACATGTTCTTACCTTAGCAAACGGTGGCAATGCACTGGGCAACACCAACACATCCGGGCGGATCTTGACCATCTCCGCGAGCTCAAGATATCCCAAATCCAGGTTAGCACCCATAGGCGTGCCGTCACCAGCACCGACCCTAGGCAGCTTCTTCCGATCTGTCGGCGGGAAGAGCGGGAAGTAATGTCTTTGCTCAACCAGATATCGGCTCAGTCTATCATAGACATTGGTGTTTACCGGTCTACCGCCAACAAGCTCCTCATGTCTAAGTTCGTAGAAAATATCCTGGCTACTTATGCCCAGCATCATCTCGTTGATCGACAGCGTCATGGGATTTCCTATCACCCGTGCTGATTTCGGCAGACCGAGTTCCCGTCGTGGGAAGGAGTCTTGAGGCCAGGAGACGTGCTTGTCTATCACGTCCCGGACCGAGGGTACAAGAAGGATGGTGATGGATGGATTTGCGGCGGTGAGGCCGTTCAGGGCGGGAGAGATCATGTATTTGAAGACGGTGGACATGGTTGCTGTGTCTGGGTCCACGGTGGCGCCCTCAGGGAGGTCGAAGTCGCCTGATGCGATGAGCGGGTGGGATATGTCGATGAAGGGTCCGGTGAGGACTAGACAGTCGGCATAGGTGTCTGCTGCTCGGGAGCAGATGGCATGGAGAGGCTCGAAATCCAGGTTATCGTCTGCTGTATAGGGACCGGAGGCGAACATTATGTGCATGGGTAAGGGGTCTGAGTCCTCGTCCATGGCATCGGGACCACCGCGGAGTCTCTCTCTGTGGGATTCTATGTCTGCTGGTGTGGATGCTGCGTTGGGAAGGAGAGGAATCTCAAGGATCTCCTTTACTGCGAACTCCTTGCCTGAGGCGTTGCTGCCCTTCAACGCCACTATTTGACCGGGGAAGAAGCTGAAGCGTCCTTTGAGCTGCTCGACGTTGAGAGGTATGCGCAGTCCGTTGCCCATTTGTCTGGAGGTTTCTAAGACAATTGACGCCGTGTTGAGTTTACCCTCTGCGGAGTCGCATGCTATTCTCCCCACGGCAACAATCTCTGTTGTGCTTTGACTGGCGGCGCTGCCGAATGCGGACTCTTCGAGGTTGTGATATTCTTGTACGAGCTTCGTAAAGTTGTCTATCCTGTCGTCCAATACCTCTGAGGTCTCTGATAGCTTCATGGCTAGGTTCTTGTAGCCCAGCTTCTTCTGGTCTGAATGCGCGGTGAGTTTGACTCTTGGTTCGGAAAAGGGGGCGATGGGCGGCTCTGGGGCGGGTAAGTGGTCGTTGAGGATCTCGGTAACTTCGCCAGGGTTCGCTCGGTCATTGAAAGATGACGGTGGTAAGACGCCTAGATTGTTCATCTGCTCTTCAAGGCCCCGAGCTGGCGACGATTTGTTATCTGGGGAGCTGGGTGGATGTCCTGCCTTAACCCGGGAAAACGAAGGGGTTTCGAGCTGTCGCTTCCTCGTCGAGGCGAGTTTGTTCACTTTTCCCGTGCCACCAGGTGTATTTGGTACAAGACCGTCTAATATGCCAAATACGTCGGTGTTGCCCTTGGCGGAAGTGCGTGGTGTTGCGCCGATGCGCTTCTCGGTTTTGACGTGATGCGTTTGCGCTCGGTTACTCCTCTCTAGAGCATCTTGCAAATCTTGCTTGAAGGCTCGGAGTGTTGACATGTTGATATTGTTGCCATCCATGTCCATCTTCATCGTATACGACTCCCACTTGAACCACAAATCCTGCGGCTCAAGCTGGTGTAGGCGCATGATGGACTGCAACTCGGCGAGCACATCTGGCTCCAATTGCTTGCCTCCACTGGCGAACTTTTCGTTTAATTCTGCTACTGCGTCCGACATGATTTCGTATTGCAGGCTCATCAACTGTATGTCAACTATTCGCCGAATGACGGTAATGCTCTGTCGGTTGGAAATAGTAGCAGCGATAATTGACTTGGGGGAGACGCGACGACGGCACGCGTGTCGCGTAAAGTGCACTGTGCCCCACCTCGCTACTAGGGCGGCTCAATTAATCTTATCAACTGACCATATCTGCTCCGATAAGACGGTTAGACGTGCAGCATTTTCAAGAACAACTCTGCCATACCAGCTGCGCTATGAAAACGGCCATTTTGCCTGTATAGCTGAATGTGGAAGCATACGGGAGCTGGTTTTGCATGCTTCTATGCTTGTTATATCTCGTCCGTCGCACCTTAGGCCAAGGATATCCTCTAGGTAGAGCTTAGCCTCGGCTTCCAGGAGCTGAAAAAAAAGTACTGGGAAAGTTATTGGTCCCTTCAAGGAACCGGTAACTCGGATACGGGGAGTCGAACCCCGGGCTGATGAGTGAGAGTCATCGATGTTACCGCTACACCATACCCGATGTTGCTGTTATGGGAGAAGCGTAAGAAGTCTTGAGAGACTACTGCTACTGGACCACCGTGGTAATGACTCGGGTGTTCAGTAGTCAACTGGACTCAGGCGCGCTGTGGCGTGCCCGTGGTGCCCTAAATCTTGCGACTAATGCTCAACCACATATCTTCTTATATCTGCTAAAAGCTTTTGAATTGGTGAAAAATTATCTTGTAGTCGTACGATTTGGTACAGGTAGACGCAGTGAAGCGGTTTCACAAAGACATATCTGCATCACTACCCTTCTTGGTTAGCGCATCGAGACTACAGGGGTCCAGCTCAGACCGACGCTCTTCCCGCTTCACATGCAGGAACTTTAAATCGTTGGTACCCCTCCAAGAGCTTAAGTGGTGGGGCACAACAACT